TTATTATCTTCATCCATTATATGCCCAACAAATTTATGACTCTTGTAAAGACACTGAATTATCTGGTGGTTTTGCAGTTAGGTCTTTATACCCAACATATAAAGAATTTTTCCAAATGATTTCTGATGTTAATCCAGTTATGCCACTTCATTTTGTTTATGATGAAACAGGATATAATGGAAGTAAATATACTAAAATGCATAAGTGTAGTGATATGTGTTCATGTCAATCTTGTCATGAAATGTGTACAGAATTTATTGAAGATGAACCTACTTTTAAAGATTATCCATTCTTAGATGGTACTTTAAATATTATTACTATTATTTCTATTCATTTATTTATGATATTTATTATGGTTATTATTACTGTTTGTGGTGGAATTCTTTCTTACAAAACATTTACTCAAATGAAAAAATCTAATCCATCACTTCTTTATATCAGCTATATTTCTCTTGGAGCTGTTACATTATTAGGAATTGGATTTATTATTATAGGAATAATCGTTGTTGGTTTCCCAATGGAAGGAGTAATAACGTCAATGCCATGGGGAGATGGAAATATATTAGGAATGATTTTATTGTATATTGGATTTGGGGTATATGTTATTGGATACAGTGTTTATGATTTATACTATTTTGTTATTTATACTCTTTATAATAAAACAGAATCAGAAGGTATTACAGACTCAGCAAAAATATCTATTCTTGGACAAGAAGAAAATTATGAAGAAGACACTAATAAAATTGATTTAACCGATAATTTCTTATCTAAGGCTATGTCTTGGTATTCTAAATTCTTATGGAAATTTAAATGGATTATATTAGCTGTTGTAGTATTATGTTGTATTATTTTATGTGTTGGAATTTATAAAATTGTATTTATTACAGATTCATTAGGACTTTGGGTACCAAAGAATTGTCAAACAATGAAAGATAAAAATTATTACGATGAAGCATTTGGTCCTTTCTTTAGAATTAATCAATTTATGTTATCTGATAAATTGCATCCTGGTAATCAAGTATTAACACAACCATTAATTGTCCAATTACAACAAATGATAGATGAAATTCGGTCTATTCATGTAGAATGGACAGACAAAGAAACTGGAATAACAAAAGATATTACAATGGATGATATGTGTTATAAACCTGTTTTTGGAAAGGGTTGTATTATTACATCAGTTACGGGTTATTGGCAACATGATATTAACAAAATAATGAACACTGAAAATGTTACTCAATACATTCAAAATTGTCTTGGTAATCCATTGGCTACTGGATGTGCTGATGATATTGGATCACCTGTAGATCCACATAATTCTCTTGGTAATTATACAGTTGGTGATAATAACGATCCAATGAAAGCAACAATTCTCCAAGCTACATTTATGTTTAATCAACCAAATCAAACTGCTATTGAATGGGCAGAATTATGGGAAGAAAAATATTTAGAAATTTTAGACAGAGATTATTCATTAGTAAAAGTAGCATATCAAGCTCAACGCTCTGTAGATGATGAAATTAATAGAGAAACATTTACAGATGTATTAACAGTTCTTTGTTCATATATGGTTATGTTTATTTATATTTCTTTATCATTAGGAAATTCATTCTATCATTTTAATTACAAGACTGTTTTTGTTAAATCTAGAATTTTATTAGGTATTCTGGGTATTGTTATTGTCTTATTCTCAGTATTTACCTCTGCTGGTTTCTTCTCTTGGATTAATGTAGAAGCAACATTAATTATTACTGAAGTTATTCCATTCTTAGTTTTGGCAATTGGAGTAGATAATATTTTCATTCTTACAAATACTATTGATGAACAACCTATGTACGATAAAGACGGTCAGTATGTTCCAGTAGAAAAACGACTTGAACATTCTTTAATGCATGTTGGACCTTCAATGATGTTAGCTTCAATATCAGAATCATTAGCTTTCTTCCTTGGATATTTAACAAGTATGCCAGCAGTTCAATCATTTTCATTATATGCTGGTCTTGCTATTTTCATTGATTTTATATTACAAATAACTGTATATGCAGTGTTACTATGTTATGATGTTAAGAGACAAGAGAGTCATGGATTAGATTTTATTCCTTGGTTACAAGTTCATGACAATTCCTTAGATGAACAACATGATTTCGAAAGAGGATCTCTTATTAAACATCTCTTTAAATATGTTGCTACATTCTTGTCATATTATCCAGTAAAGATTATTGGCTTATTCTTCTTTATTGCATTCTTTATCTTCTCTTTGAATTATGTCCCAAAAACTATGCTTGGATTACCTCAAGAAACTGCTCTTCCACAAGACTCATATATCCAGGACTACTTTGTTGCATTAACTTATTTAGAAATTGGTCCACCAGTGTATATTGTTGTAAGAGATGGTGCAACTTATTTGAATGAAACAACTCAAAGTGCACTTTGTGCTTCAGATAATTTTGGGTGTGATGCTTTGTCTATTCCAAATTATTACGACGCTGCAAGAACAATTGATGGAACTACATTTGATTGGATTGATGACTATTTCTCTTGGGCTGCTCAAAAAGATTGCTGTAGGTTAGATAAAGAAGGTAAAATTTGTCCATATGATATGGCTAATTATACTGAATGTACTCCTTGTTTCACTAACTTTACTGACAAAAAACGTCCTGTTCCAGAAGACTTCTACAAGTATATCAATAGATTTTTGACTGCATCTATTAATGAAACATTATGTTCTGTCAACGGTCAAGCTTATTACCCAGATGTTGTTTGGAATCATATTAATGGTTCGAAAGAAACAGATTACTCTTATGTTAATGTATCTCGTTTAAGATTATACCATACAGTTTTAGTTACTCAAGATGATTTTATTGATGCTATGGTTCAAGCTTATAATATTTCTGATTATATGAATTCTATTTTTGATGTTAAGACATTCCCATATGCTTATCATTATGTGTATTTCCAACAATACTTTAATATTGTTGATCTTTGTGTTATGGATGTATGTTTAGCATTAGCAGCAGTCTTTATTGTAGTTATGTTATTAATGTTTGACCCAATTGTAGCCATAATGATAGTATTGTGTGTGTTAATGTGTGTAATAGATTTAATTGGAATAATGTATCTTTGGGGAGTAGAATTAAATGCTGTTTCATGTGTTAACTTAGTTATGTCTATTGGTATAACCATTGAGTTCTGTGTCCATATTGCACATGCCTTCTTATCTTCACCAAAGAAGACATTAAATGATAAAATGAAAGACGCTGTAATGAATATGGGTAATAATGTTTTTGTAGGTATTACTTTAACTAAATTCCTTGGAGTTATTGTTCTTTCATTATCTTCGGGATTAATCTTTGTCATTTATTACTTCAGAATGTATTTCATGATGTTAATCTTCGGTGCTTCACATGGGCTTTTCTTCCTCCCAATTCTTCTCTCTCTAATTCCTTCTGTTTCACTTAGTCATATAACTGATCCTTTCAAAAAGATGTTTAGTAAATGTAATAAGAAGAAGAATACTAAAAGAGAATATCAAAATATTGAATGAGTTCTTACTTAAGTTGTGCTAAAAGATTATTTTTGATATTAGTTTTTGTTTTTTATATTCTTTTTTCTTACTCTTTATTAACACTTGATTCAACTCTATAATTAACAACCCTCTAAAATCATAAAACTTAAACAAATAATTAAATTCAAGTTGATTATGATTCAACATCTAAAAAATAACAAAATAAACAAGTATTAAACTTACTCAATTATTTTTATCATTTTATTTGATTAACACTTGTCTAATATTTTTTTTTTGAGTTAAATAGTTATAGAGTAGTTTAATGATAGTTTTTATTGTTGTACTTCATTGATTGTGACTTGGATAAATAAATTCTTTTGATCGATTTATTATCTAAAAAGATTAAATAACGTGAAATGAAAAACTTCTCTTATCACTTAATCAGTAATAGTTTATTTGATTTAGTTCTGTAATTTATTTTTGTAATGATCCATACATAATTAAAAAAATTTTTAGATGATTAGCTCATCATTGCAAAGGTCTTTTTAATTTTCTCCATCATATTACCGTACCCTTTGTTTTCATATTCTCTTCAATAAACAGATTTCGAATTATATCTAAATACCCATATTACAGTTAAGTCTACATAAAAAAGCAATTTTCTCCTTCCGTTTTCATATTTTAATAAATAAATATTCTTGAGTTCACTTAAGTCAGTTATGGCAATAAAAATTAATTTAAAAATATTTATATATTAAATAATCCAATCAAAAAAAATTTAAATTATTTTTATAAATCACTTTAAAAACATTTTATAGAATATAATGAAACGTTAATATTTGGAAGTTAAAGAAAAATTTTTATTTTTCTTTTTTTATTTCCTTCTATTTGGAATTATTTTTATTTGATTGGTTATTTTATTTAAAATAATTTAACAAAATACTAAGAATAGGAAAAAACTAATTAAAAAAAAGTAACCAATCAGTTCCTGTTTTAATTATTTTTCGATTATTATGAAAGAAAAACGTTAATTAGTAAAAAATAAATATTTTATTCAGGAAGAAAAATCATGCCATGAGAAAAAAAAATTGCAAATGTTTTTCCTGTTTTTAGATTTTTGTGAAAAACAAACTGCTGAAATTTCTAAACTTCCAAACTATTTAAACAAAGAACTCTTTCTTTTTTTAAATTGGGTGAAGTTAATGCAAACACGGAGAAGGGCATGTGTCATTGGTCAATCTAAAGATATTCAATGTATTCCTGACATGTACGTTGTTGGGATAGACAATGATACCACTGCAGATGATGAAATCTTTTCTATTATTAACCATTGTTCTCCTGTTCATGAATTTGTTACTGTTGATGAAAATAATGAATTTGTTGTTTCACAATTAACAAGCACTAGTGCACCTATCCCTGAAAGAAGTATTAAACCACTTCCAAAAAGTATTACTTCTTGTTCCAATTAATCTTTCTGTATTTTTGTTAATGTACTTTTTAAAGAGTGTAAAAATTAAAATTAAACTATTTAAACAAATTATGATTGAAAATTTTGCATTTGTTATAAGTTAACATTAATTAAAGTATTAACTTCTATTTATGTTTTATTTCTTTAAATTATAGTCATTGAAAGTTTTATTTAATACGAATTATTTCTTTAAAAAAATTTATTACTAAAAATTTAATTTAAATAATTTATAATCTCATTCTTTCAGTTTAATTAATCTATTTCACTTTTTATGAATTGATTTCTATCAACTAAATACAATATTCACTAATAATTCAATAAAAAAATGTTGGTTAAGTGTTAATAGAACTTATATATATTATTCCTGGATCAGCGGAGACTAATCCATTCACTGAGTCTTCTTCTTGTAATTCCACAACATACATTTGGTTGTGGTAGAATTAATGTTCAATAACATCAATCATATTCTTAGTTACAAGGTTTTTGACTTCTTTTATGATGTCAATTTTAATTTTTAATTCTTTAATTAATTTAATACTTTCAAAATTTACTAATTAATTTACTGAAATTACTACTGCATTTATTTTGATATCTTTTAATTTCTCTATTTTCATTAACACATTCTTCAATTTCTTAATACATATTTCTTTTATTCAAATATTCCATTAATATTATGATCTGCAATAATATTCATATCAAACAATAAACCAGCTTTATTCTTTTTATTTATGACACACATATCTGATGTTTTATGATATTGTCATTCACTTTTTAATATTATTTGTTTGTTCAATATCGTAGTAATGTCTTTGTATTTGAATATTGTCTCATATGTTGATTTCATATATTGATTATTTCATGGATATTTCCTTATTATTTAATATGATAATACAAATATTATCATGTTTCTCAATTTATAATTTTTTATGAACAATACAAGATAATAGAATGTGTTCTATTGTTGATATCTTGTATTTACAAAGTGTGCATTACTTTAATCATTTTTTAATATTTTATCTTTTCTATACATATTGAATATTATTCTATTTTGTGTTTTAGTTAATTGAAGAAAAGAATTCTTTTTAATACTGATTGACTTCAATGAATTGATTGTAGTAGTTTTATCTATAAATTTTGATTCAACCCATCTTCTAAAATGTCCAGTTATTTAATTTCAATTTATTGAAGTATTTGTTTATCATTATTTTATTTTATATAATAATGTTCACAGTTAAACAGTATATTTGTTGCTTTGATTATAATGAATAATAACAATAAAATATTTATAAAATACTCATTCAATTAGTTTTTATGGTATTTATAAATTTTTTAAATAAAAAAGCAAGAGAAAGGAAGAAAAAATCTTTGAAAAGAAAAGTAATATCATAGCAGTTTATTTTCAATGAAAACTCTTTTTTCTTTTCTTTTCTTTTTCTCCTTCTTTTCTTTTAGTTTTTTCTGTAGTTTTTTGAGCTATTGGTGCTTGTGATATAGAACTAATAGTATTTCTTTTTTCTTTATTTAATTCTGTAATTGGTGTTGTAGGTGTTTTAGTTGAAGATTGATTATTAGAACTTTGTGAAATTGTAGCTCTTTTAATTTCCAAAGTAATTTGTTTCTTTTTTAAATCTGATTTTATCGATTTAGGTGCTTCCCCTTCAATACCATATTTAGTCCAAAAGTATTGATATTTATTCTCTCCTTCATATTCAACAGAACTTTTTGGAATTTCTTTTCCTGTAAGACGAAGGATATTACCAAATCCATTACCAAATTGAATTAATTTCTTTATTTCAGGTACTTTATATTCAAAAGTTTTATCAATGGTACAAATATTTGACGTATTTTGTACTTTTGGAAATAGCATATGAGCTCTACCACAAGCACAACAGAGAAAACAACCATAGTTCAAATCAACAAAATGAAGGTTAGTAGAACCACAATCAGCACAAACTTTATTTGACGGAATACTTTCTAGTCCTAACATTATATTTTTTACTGTTAATCCTGCTATGTCACTATCAATTCCTTCAAATAAATCTAAATGAGTTTCTTCATGGTCATAACTTCCAATAAATGATTGTCTAATATAAAAAACCCACAATAACGCTAATGAAGTAGAACACATATCAAACACAGAATTAATTTTATCTTGTGTACCGTAATTAATTAATGAAATAAATGAAGGAGGTATAAAAGCAACACTTGTATATTTTGTAACAAAATAGTCAATCATTCTTATTCTTTTAAATGCATCTTCTTCATTTGAAAAAGTACATAAAAATCCATTACCTAAAATCATATATTTTCCATCAGAACCAATAGGACCTTTCCACCATATATCTCTAATAGTATTTTCGTCCCATTGATTTTTATATTCTTCATAAAATGATGGTAATGAATTGTTAGAATGAGAAATTGTGAGTAAAGATTGTTCTTGTGTTTGTAAAATTTGATTATCTAAGTCAACAATCCAATCCATTTTTTCTTCTTCATTAGCACAAATAAAATAAATTGATTTACCTGATTTATTAACAATAAGAAATGTAGGAGATGATTCAATTTTAATTGAATCTAATACACAAAATGATCCTATTGGAATAATTAATTCAACTGTTAATTGTTTTTTACTTTCACAAACTGTTTGAATCGTTTCATTAAATATTTTTCCTTTATGTGAAGTTCCAGGACTAATAATTTTAGTTAAAATAATAGTGTCATTAAATAAAAATAAATAAACACTTCGATATTTTGGTTTTGCTTCTGGTTCATAAATAGTTATAATACCAAAACGAATAATTTTTCTTGAAGCATTTGGTTCTATTGGATTAATACCTTGAGAATATTTAAATTTGTTTGTTAATTTACCAATTAATTGTTGATTTTCTAATGTTCTTTTACTTTCATTCACAACTATTCCAATATCAGTTATTGCTTGTAATGATTTATTTAATGAACTATATTCAGAGTGTTGAGGAGGTAATGTTTTCAGAAGTTCTTGAAGTAATAAACGATATCTCGGAATTCTTTGAACAGGAAGAATAACATAAGAATTAAAGGTATCTAACTTATTAATTTTTCTAATTTCATTTAATGCAGAATCAAATTGTTTATTTGTTTTTCTTAACTTTTCTTCATGTTCATTAATAGCATCAGTTGAATTAACATAACTGCAATATGTTTTTAGAAAATGTACTGATTTTTGAAAAACAGCTCCTATTCCTTTTCCATAATAAAGTACTTCCTTTTGAAGTTCAAGAACACTTTGATACATCATTTTATTATATCCTAAAATTACTCTAATATCTTCTTCACATTTTTTTAATATTTTATCAGTTGGATAAACAGTTAATGCTACTTTAAGATAAAAGTCTAAGAACTGCTGTAATTTATTAACATAAACTTCTTCTGTTTTTATTAATTCATTAACAACATTTTTTCTCTGAACCAATAATTTCATTGTTGATTTACTTGATTTTCTACTGAGAAATCCATATACTCTTCTTTGAATTTCTTTAACAAGGTTGATATTATATTCTTTTTCATTCCATTTCTTCTCTTTAGAACTTTCTGATTTGAATAATTGATTTTCTTCTATTTTTTGATTAATTTCATTTATTTTTTCATCATTATTTGATCCATTTTCACTATTTGGTTTATGTTGTAATTTCTTTGGTTTTTCTGGAACTTTTGGTGGTTGAATTACCATTTCATTTTCTTTTTGTTCAGACGTTATTTTTTGATCTAACTCTTTTGGTTCTTTGATAGTAGGTGATTTAATTTCTTCTTCTGTGTATGTTTCTTTTATAGGTGAAAGGTTTTCTAGTTGAGTCTTTCTACTTTCTGAGTAATTCTTTTTTGTTTCAATAACTTCGACTTCCACATTTTGACTTGGTTTGTTTTCTTCTTTTGGAGTAATTTGTTTTTCTTGTTGAATTTGTTTTTTTTGTTCTTCTTCTTGAATGTCACATAGTTTTTTAGTTAATGTTTCTGTTTCATTTTGTAAACAAGATTGGTATTGGATAACTCTATTCATTGTATTTCTTCCTAAAGTTCTTCTTTTTTGAATTCTTGTTCCTGATTTTTGACCAATGAAGAATATAAGACTTAAAAATTGTTGAATTTCTCCATTAGCTAAAAGAGTTGCATCTAAACCCATTGGTTCTCCATAATTTTCTTTTACCAATTTAAGCAATACACCCATATTTTGTTGTATTTGAAAAATATTTTTGGGATTAGTGTTGTATCCAATTGCATTCTTATGAGTAAGTTTTTCAACTATTTTAATTAATTTTATTCCATTTTGTAATCCACTGAGAAGATCAGTTATTGGATCATCTTCTATTTGTTTATTGATCCATTCAATACAATCTTTATATTCCTCTTCTTTATAATTCATTCTTTTTCAAAAAGACAGTTTTTCTTTTCTTTTGGAGTTCAAAAAAAGAAACAAAAAACTAAAAACTGTAATGAACTTGAATTAAAGAATTTTTCATTTAAGATTTTTAAAAAGTTAGTTTAGATTTCATTTAATATAAAATCAGAATTTTTTTAGAATAAAAAAAAATATATAAATCAATGTAGAATTGAATTGATCAATTGATTCTTTGTTATGTGTTAGTGTTTAACGTAATATATTTTTTTTTAATTTGTTTTGTTTACTTTTTCAAGAGAAGTAAAGAATTTAATAATAAACAAAGTAGTAATTCCAGCAAAGAAAAGACAAACTATTCCAAGAAGAATTAAAAGAGGAACATTACCAGGTAATCCTAATATTCCTTTTTTCATAGAAATGAAATAAGTAACTCCTTTATTTAATTCTTCAATATAAGTAGTACGTCCCATGTAAAGTAAAGTAACATAACAAATAAATGGATTGCATTCAGTTTTATTATCAAAAATAACACATCCATTATTATCCGTTTTAAATTGTAAATTAGATTCATCTAAGAAAGTTGTATTAGTAGAATAAAATTTTGGTTGAAATAATGAAACTCCATAAATTGTTGGAATACTTCCAAGTGAATGAATTTTAATTTCATACATTGAATTTTTATTTAATTGAAGTGGATTAATTTGATAAGCAGTTGTAGTATTATATTGTTGAGTATTTTTAATTATAATTTCAGGTATAAGTTTCTTGTTTTCTTCTGCAAAACTTAATGAAATGAATAATAGAATGGATAAAAGAATAGAACAAGTCATACTATTAATTCAAATAGGTTTTATTATTTTATGTTCTTTTATTTACTTTTTTATTAAATTAAAAAAAATATTATTTAAAAGTCTTTTTTAATTTATAAACAATTTATTTAAAAGTTTTATGTTACAAAAATTTAAACAACATGCTTCTCCTTTAGAAATAGAATTAGCTTGTATATTTGATGAAGAATTAAATGAACCGTTTGTTAATTTAAATGAAAATAAGTAATACTTTTTTATTAAAAATTTAGAGATTTACTTTTTGTTAAATCACTTGATGAATTAATTGCTCTTTGCCAAAAACATAAACAATCAATTAAACCAAATGCTGTACGTTCTTTCTTAATAAACTATTCATCTTTTGTTTCAAATGAGCTTATTCAAGAAAAAACTGCATTTGAATTATTAGAAGCAATAAATACACCATTAAGTTATGGCATAGTATCATTTGATACTTATTTCCCATCATTACAACCATCAGGAATTATTGAAATAGCAGGAGAAGCAGGAGCTGGAAAGTCACAAATATGTATGCAAATAATAGTACTAGCAATATTGTGTTATAAAATGCCTTGCTATTATATCTGTGATAAAAGATTTGTTTATCAAGAAAGAATTGACCAAATAGAACATTACTTTGCTCAACTCCTTGATTTTAATCCAATTGGTGTAAACTCATTTTTACAGATACATAAAATTCAATCATTTGATGATTTTGAAGAAACACTTTGTTCATTAAAAGAAACTAATGATGGTGGATTAGTTATTATTGACTGTTTTGGAACTATTTTAAAAACTTCTTTTGAGGAAAATTATAATGAACGAAGTGTTGGAATTAGTAGAACAGCAACAATACTAAATGAACTTAATGCTCAAGGATTTGTTGTTATTACTACTAATGAAGTTGTTGATAAAATAGAACAAACAGAACCCATACTATTTGAATTTCTTGAATTGTATAGTGATTTAAAAACACTTCAAATTAGTACTGGACTTGATATAAATTGTGATGGAAGGATAATGACAAGTTCAAGTGGAATTCAATGGGCATATTTTGTTACACATCGACTTTTCGTTTATAAGACACAAGAGAGTTTATTTTCTGCATGGGAAACATTAAGCGAAACGACACAACGAGAATTGGATGAGATTGATGACGAAATGAGATCTAATATTAAAATTAGAAAATGTGTTATTAATAAATCAAATGAGAAAGAGAAAGGGATTTGTCTTGAATATTGTATACTTCCTTCTCATGTTTGTGGAATTGAAAGAAGACAACCAAATTAGTAGAATAGTCCTTATGTTGTTTTTTTATGAAGTTAATCTAAATAAAGTTTCATTTTTTATGTCTCTTCTATTAGTGAAAAATACTTTTAAGGTACAACAAAATAGAACAAAGATGAAACAGAACTAATATCCTTTTAATTTTCAATAAATCATTAAAAAAGGAATGAAAAAGAAAAAAATTTCTCTTTTCCTTTTCATAAAAATGAGACAAGAACCAAAGTACTACAGATGACGTGGACATGACTATAAAACCAACTCTTATTCAAAGAAATTATTCAGTTTTAATGAAAGTAAACATTATACTTTTATTAACTTTTCTTATTAACATTGTTTTTGGTGGTTATTGTACACAAGAAGGTTGTAACGAAACATTATTAGACAAATATTATTCAAGATTTAGTCATTATAATATTAGTATTGAAGCTATGTTAAAAGAAAAAGAAGAGTTTAAAAAACAATATTCACCTAATAATGAATATGGTTATAACAATACTATTGAAGAATTTGTTGCTGAAGAACTTCAAGATCGTTTAGATAATAAAATATTCTTTGATTATACTGCTAATGGTGTATATACTAAATCACAAATGCAAAAAGTATTTAATAATTTAAATTCCAAATTTTTTGCTAATGCACACTCACACAATAGTGTTTCAAGTAGAACAGATAATGCAGTTCATGAAGCTCGTCAACTAATTTTAAAAAGATTTAATGTTACATCAGCTGAGTATACAGTAATTTTTACAGCTGGTGCTACTGGTGCACTTAAATTAATTGGTGAAAGTTTCCCATGGACAAATAATTCTAAATTTATGTATTTAAGACAAAACCATAATAGTGTTCTTGGTATTAGAGAATATGCGTTAGAACAAGGAGCAGAATTTAAAACAGTTACTGAAGAGGAATTAACATCTGAAGGATGTGATAATTTATTTGATGAAAAATGTGATGGAATTCCAAAAATACTTCGTAAACCAACATTAACAGAATATCCAACTAAGGTTTATAATTTATTCGCATTCCCTGGAACTGAGAATTTTGCAGGAGTTAAATATCCATTAGAATGGGTTAATAAATTTGGAAATGAAAAAACAGGAAAGAATAATAATTGGTTAGTTTTATTAGATGCTGCTGCATATCTTAGTACTGGTAGATTAGATCTTAGAAAATATCCAGCTGATTTTGTTGTAATGTCTTTTTATAAAATTATAGGATATCCAACTGGACTTGGAGCTTTGTTAGTTAAAAATGAAGTAATGGATTTAATGCAAAAGAGTTTCTTTGGAGGAGGAACTGTTGTTATGAGTGATTGTGATACTCATTTTTGTTTATTACATGAATCAGGATGTCAACGATTTGAAGATGGAACAATTAGTTTCTTATCTATTGCATCATTAAAATATGGATTTGAACAACAAGATCATTTTGGAGTAGAAAATATTCAAAATCATGTTATGTCTATTGTTGATTATTTGTATGACAAATTAAGTAATCTAAAACATTCTACTGGTCTTCCTGTTTTTGAGATTTATGGTAAACATGCTCAACACGATCATTCTATTCAAGGCCCAATTATTAATTTAAGTGTTAAAGATGAAAAAGGCAATTATGTTGGATATTCTATTGTTGAAAAGAAGTTAGATGAAGCTGGTTTCCAAGTTAGAACTGGATCTTCTTGTAATCCAGGTGCTTGTTATGGTTATTTAAATATTACTTCAGATGAAGTAAAGAAATTTAGTTTATTAAGAAATGGATGTGGAGATGAACATGATATCATGGAAGGAAAGCCATTAGGAGGTGTTCGTGTTTCATTAGGATATCTTTCTACTTTTGAAGAGGCATATTCTTTTATTGAATTCTTCAAACAAAACTTCCAACATTAAAATTGAATATTTTTTTTTAATTCTATTAAATTTACATTTTTAAAATATTTTTGATATTTTTTTAACGTTGTAATCGGTCAAAATATAAACCATTTAAATCAAGAAAAATGGGGGAGTTTTATACAAAATAAAATACTAAAAAAATAAAAATTAAGAAAAATGTTATAAAAAACAAAATATAATACTTTAATAAAAAAGTAAATTCTATTAAAGTTTGTTTCAAAACTTAAAAATGTTAATTTTTTTTGTTTATGAGCAAAGGGATTGATATTAATAAAGAAATTAAATTAAAATCTGAACAATGGAAAATACCAGGAAGAGCACCACCTAGTGTTATTACAGAACGTGGAATGACTTTAAAAGAATGTGAATCAGCACATAACTTCATTTCTGAAACGATCAAAAAATTAAGTAATCTTGATAAATTAATATTTTATGATCAATATACTGATGACTTAACACCTGAACTATTATACAAATACCAAACAACAGACGTTTGTTCTTTTAGATTAAACAAAATTATTAAAGATAATATTAAATTAATATAATTATAATAAAACAATTATTTAGTAATATAGAAATGTTATACTTTAATCCCACCAAAAGAAATAAGTTATCAATGTTTAGATTGTTCTGATGGGGATCTTCATTCATTTATTCTTTGTAGTGAATGTGCAGAAGAGCATAAAAGAGCTGGACATCTTCTTTTGCAACATATGAGCAATGATACAGAAATATGTCATTGCGGTGATATATTTTTAGAAAAGTCAAAGATAAAAATATGTCATATTCACCAATATAATTCAATTCAAGTTAGTGCCTCTGAAGAATCAAGAACTACTGAAGAAATTAATGCTATTAAAAAAAATGTTGAAGAAATATTTAATAGAATTGAAATTATGTCCCAACTCGTTATTCCAGAAATGGTTATTCAAATGTGTGATAAAATTCTTGATGTTCTTTCTAAAAGATATGAACCTGATATTAGAGTTTTTGTTTTACATATTGTCAGATGGTTAAATAGAGTTATTAGAATAAATCCAATAAGAAAAGTTATTAAAGAAGTATTTAAAACAAAGATTAAAACAAATGGTAGATTCTTATTAACTAATTCAATTGAAGAATATCAAGAAAATAATTGTTTATATGTAAAAAGAAGAAATCAAACTGAATTAGCCAATACTGAAGTAACTGCACATGAAATATTTCTAAATCTTTGTATTATGAATCAACCAACAAGTTCATATGTAGCAAGACTATTATATTTAATTTTAGATAAAGAAAATAAAAATGATTTCCTTCCAGAATATCGTCGGGCATATGCAACAGTAGCATTTCATGGAACATATTTACCAAAACATTTAGGTATTTTATTAGATACTATTGATATTAAAACAATCATTCCTCATATTTTAAATTTATTAATTGTTGTTATAAAGGAAAAAAAACCTTTAAAAGATAGAAATGCTATGAGTCAATTTGTTTCTTGGTTATTAGCTGATGAAGATAATATCCTTGGTATCATTCAAAATGAAAATAATTTGACTACATTTATTGAATTATGTGATCAACTTACTTTCTATCCAACTCCATTAGACAAAACAACTAGTTCTGTAATGAAATTATTTCATCCCATTTTTATTGCAGTTATGACACGAATCCAAATTGTTTCTTTTAAAGACTCATTACAACGAGATAACGAAGAAGAAAGTAACTCTGAAAATGAGTTAATTAAAATGCATAGAAGGGTGTCATTACTTATTGGAAAATATTTAAAAGAACATGCACAAAATATTGTAAAAACTTTAAATAAAATTGTTTTTGGAAGAGATCAAGGAAAAACTCAAATGAATAGATCTGTAATTCCATCCCATTATTATTTATTCAGTCTTATAGGATGGATTGCAAATCAACTAATGACCCAACCTATTCCAAATGAATTAACTAATGATGTATTTCAATTCCTTGAAATTGGAACTAATGAAGATATTAAAATTTATCTTCAGTTCTCTTATTTGATTTATACTATATCACATGATAAAATTTATTTTACAAGTATTCTTGAACTTAAAAATAATAAAGCACCTCAATGTGAAGTTCAAGATTATTTTGGTGAATTGACTTATCCAATTCTTTATTCTTCATTAATATTTGTTTCTCATGCATGTCTTCTTTCATTAGGCGCACATAGATTTGTTGATTTTTTAAGAGAAATTGCTTATGTTCAAGAAGATAACCTCACTAACCAAGACCTTTGTGTGAATGCAGTAATTCTTGATTTTATTAATATCATTTGTACTTTCAGTAGATTTGGTCAAACACCAGAAGTAAATGAGACAAGTTTTCTTAATTATTATCTTTATAATATAAAACTTTGTACTCCAGCTAATTCAGTTAATAGTCAAGTCAAAGAATATATTGGAAATGCTTTACTTATGGCAGAACAAACAAATAACACTCAAAAAATTATTACAAAGAATACTGTCCCAATAATGAAATCAAGTATCAAAATCACTCGTCCAGCAAGCAAATCTTCAAATGACAGACTGACCTTAAAAAAGTACAAAGGAGAATGGTCTAAGAAAAGTATAGATTCAAGACTTTCTATGTCAATTATGAAAACAACTTTTGAAAAATCATTTAAAAAAAGTGTTTCAACTAAAGAAGAAAGTACTTTTAGTAAACATGATATTACCCAAGATTTATTAACTAATGCAGATATATCTATTTATCAATTTAGAAAAAGATGTGATAATGAACCACTTGGAATTGACCAAAGTACAGAAATTAAGAAAGAAGAAATTACAAAAGAAGAATACCAAAAAATGTTGATAAAATTACGTATGGAACAAAAAAGTATGACTGAAATCAAAATAGATCAAACTTCATTCGAATGGCCTGAACTAGCCATTGACCCTACTAAAAGAACTAACCAACCAGATTTTTTCTTTCCATTCGTCAATGCTAGTTGTTCAATTTCTTTTAAAATTAATATTATTAATAAATTCTTATTAGAACCAATTTCACAAGGAAGAAGAGAAGCATTTTTATCATTCTTAAATCCTCGTTTTACAATTGGTAATTTTTGTGTTAATCTTCAATCAAGAATCAATGACTTATTAAGCGATAAAAACTTGAATAATGGACTATTATCTAAAACTAAAATGGTTAACACTACAAATTATATTTTTATTTTAAGATTTTTATGGATTCTAATTGTTCATCGAAGAGCACGTGGTATTACAACTAATGATATCTTTTTAAATCCTCATTTTGTTAAGTTACTTTGTACATGCTATGGTTATTTCTTTGCAGATATCTTTATGCTCATTCCTGAAAATAGTGTAGAAGGTCTTTTAAGAGATATTACAGAATTATTTTCTAAAGAACCTTTCATTATTCCTGTTGCAATGTCAAGAACAGAAAAATTAGTCCATCCAATTAAATATTTTATTAATGCTATCTTAAAGAACCCTATCTCAGCTTTCTTCTTTATTGACGAAAAGAGCCAAAAGAAAATCGCTGAGGTTAACCCATTAAATACTGGAATCACCTCACTTTTTAATGAAATTGCAAGCCAAGCATTAACTTCTAAGAAAAAAAAGTAAAACATCTCGTAATTAAACATTTCTCATTATTGTTTATCTCTTTGTTTTGTTACTTTTTCCTATTCTATTCCCAAGATATTTTATTTAATTGGTATTACTGTACTTATGATTTTCTCTTTGTTTAATGTAAAGGTAACAAAACAAACAATTGTATACTAAAGACTTAAATAAATATAATTTTAACAATAGTCAATATTTTGGTTTAATCACCTAATACAACAGAAATTAATAGAATTTATAACCAACAATAGCTGTAATAAATAAAAAGTCTGCACGTAATGTTTCTTCTGAAACCTGTTATCCAAGATCAAAAGTTTATCAACACAAATTGGTAAATACAGATAAAAAGAAAAAATAACATTTTGATTTGACTTTTTTAACACAAAAATATTTGAATTTAGCACAAGTTAATTTCACATTGAAAACAGTCTTCTTGACCATAAACATTAAAACAATAAATATTGTATCAAAAACAAGAACAACAAAAAAGAGAAATTAAAGAGAATGAGTTATCAGTAATTTATGTGATAAATAAATGAATAATAAAGCGGATAAAGTAGCATATAAAAGAAGGAAAGGAGAGAAAACAAAAGGATTAATAATGGCGAGAGCGTTGTTCATTGAATGAAGAAGGATAGTTGGGAAAATGCCAAGGGATTCAGTGAAGATACTAAAAGTATAACCGATGATCATGCCATAAGACATTTGGAAGAAGACATAAGGGACAGTAAAAGAAGAAGTACCGATATTAATGAAATGAATTAAACCAAACCAAACTCCTGATATGATAAAAAGATAGTTTTTAGGATTTTGAGTATAAATTTTAATAGTATTAAGCATACTTCTCCTTAATGCTATTTCTTCAGTTATAACGGAGAAAAAAAGAGTATCAATAATAATAGGAATATCTAATTGTCCATCAGTATAAAAATTAGTAAATAAATCAGAAGTATCAATATGACAATAATATAAAAAGATTCGAAGAAATAAAATACAAATTAATCCTAATAGTGCAATTATAAGTGTTGGAAATGAATTTTTATTAAATTTAAGAAATTCTTGAATAAAAGTATTAAGAGTAATAATATTTTTATTCATACTATATCTGTAATACATAAATA